GAAGACAATGGAATGACATTTTAAAGTGCTGAGGGACCAAGTTAAAACAAAACATAACTTTTAACCTAACATTTTTTACCAAACAAAAAATATTTTCCAAAAGGGAAGGAAAAAAAGATATTTTCAGACAAACAAACAAACACTGAAGAGTATATTACTAGCAGATCTGTAAATAGGAAATATTATAAGAAGTTCTTTGGGAAGAAGAAATATGAGCCCAGAGAGATACAAAGGAAATAATATCTACAGAAATGGTTACAATGTAGGTGCAAATAAGAAAATTTCCCAATTTTAATCACACTAAAAATAATTGATTACATAAAGCAAAAGCAGTAGAAACATGCTGTACAGTAACAATGTACATGAAAGCAAAATGTATGATGACAATAAAACAAAATATAGGAGGGAGTAAGCTCCCGCTACACAGGAACAGCATGATATTATTTGAAAGCAGGCTGACTAATTGAAGTTGTGTACAGAGAATCCCAGGGAATGCACTAAAGATTGTTGTAAAATACAAATAGTTGAGATGAAATCAAATCATGAAAAATGCTCATATATGTCAAAGAGACGAAGAAACACTTAAGAAACAAAGAGCAAAAGGGAAACACAGAAAACAACTAAGGTAGATTTCAATACAAATATGTAATTACATTATATGTAAGTTACCCAAAGCCAACTATTTTAGACAGTTAGGTTGGAAAATCTAAATTAGTTCAATTTTAGGTTTATCTAAGTATTTGTTTTCAGGTAAAAGAGCGCCTAATGGGAACCTACCGGGAGTGGGGTTCGAACCCACGCGGATATGCATCCATTGGATCTTAAGTCCAACGCCTTAACCACTCGGCCATCCCGGTGGCGAGACTGAGTTTTCTTCTTAAGTGTTACCAAGTTAGCACTAACTAGATTTGCTAGCTCCTGGAAGATTATGAATAATACATTTGTGAGGCCATTTGACACTCAAGGAGCAGAAAATATTCAGTGCCCTGCGCCCGCTCCCAACTCCACCCCGCAAGGTGGTGGAAAGAAAGGGAGCCCAACCTTCCCTGGAAAGATGGCTTTTCAGTGTTGCCCACTCTCCGCAAAGGCTGAGGCTTTGGGAGACTGCTCTGCAGCAACCGGCTCACCCTAGGGGCAGGAGAGCTTGTCCGGGAACTTTGTCTCTGAGGGCGGACGTGCTCAGCAAGGAAAGATGAGGACTAACCCCCAACACTAAAAGTACATATGGCTGATCGCTGTGGACTTCTTTCAAAGTATTCATTTACACCAAAGCCAAGAGGTCTTTGGATGGAAATGGAAATTGTCATGTTTGTCTTGGAACGGTAGACTTTTCGCTGCCCATCACATTCATGTTAAATCTAAATTCTTACTGTGGAGGGTCTCCCTGGGTTCTGTACCCCCCACGTGTCATTTTACTTACTGTCAGGGGGACGAATTTCCACGAGAAAAAGGAAGGAAGAAAAGCGAGCTCTGGTTCACACCTAGAATCGGAGCTCTCGGACCCACTCAGGCTCTGGTCCAGGTTCACCCGGTGCAGGAATCTGCTCTCCATTCGCCGGCCCTTCAACCTCCTCCCGTTTAGGTCACATTGCTTCCCTCAGCGAGTATTCGCCGACCATTAAGACCAGAGAGGATGCCCCTATTCTGTGAGAAATCCCTGTGACTCTCATAGCTGTCATTCCAGGCAGCAACTTTATTGCAACTAAGTCACTATGTACAAACATCATTTCGATCAGCTTGGGGACCCCTTCCCTCATGGCGAGTCTGTGGACAAAACACTTTACTCGGCGCCTTCTGTTTGTGTGTGTGTGGGGGGGGGGGAGGTGCAGTTAGAGACTAGTGAAAGGCAGGCAGCTTCAGTCCCGGGAAGGACGGTGACTTGGGACAGTGGGAGTGGGGTGAACCACGGAGGTCACCTTCCAGCTGTGAGACGTCCCGGCACATCAGACACGAGTGCACACGTCTCAGAGCCGTGACAATAGAGACGGAGAACGGAACAGAAAAGTGCCTTTGTCCTCGGAGCTCTGCCAGTCGGCCCAGCTCCTAAAGGGTAATTACAGTCACCGAGAGACGAGAGTCAGAGGAATGAGCGCAGAACATACCGCGACTTCTTTTTTAAAAATATATTTTTTATTTTAATTGTTGTTGCAGTACAATTTTCTATCTTTTACTCCCATCCCAACCCACCCACCCAGCCCTCCCCTCCTCCCTCCCATTTCCACCCACCCCTAGTTTTTATCCAGGCCGAGACATTTCTTGAAATGAAATTTCCCGGGCGCCTGAGCTCCCCAGCCCGGTGCTCGGCCTGTCGCCGGGGCTCCGGGAGCAGCACGTGCTGAGTGATGGGCTCAGACTTCGCGGAGGCCAGGAGCGCATTCAAGGTTCATTCTAACACCCTAGAATGCAGAGAGCCTTCCCCAGCGGTGTTTCCGTAGTGTAGTGGTTATCACGTTCGCCTAACACGCGAAAGGTCCCCGGTTCGAAACCGGGCGGAAACAGCTTGCTAGCGTGGTCTTTAACATCATTTTTCCCCCAGAAATCTTCTATCTGGATCTCTTTAGGTCTATTTCCACCAAATCTGAAGTTTTCGCTGTCTATTTACAGTCCCGGACTTTACGTTACAAGAATTATATAACAAGATCTCACCTAGCTGAACGAGTGATCTTCTACCCTGTCCGTCCGGGCAGAGCTGATGGCGCCTGGACGCAGTGGCGGTCCTCAGACGCGGGCGATCCCCATCGGCCCTGGTCAGGACACGCAGAGAGCAGCCCGGAGACAGGGGCGTGCCTGATGTGTGCAGGGGGTCAAGAAGCCACTGTAACTGCGCGGGATGGGCCGAGCAGGCAGAGGTAGAGAATGAAAGGGACAGAGCACGTGGAGGCTTGTGAGGTCGCTGTTTAAGGACTTTGGTCTTTACTCTGGTAAAACGAGACGTTGGATCTTAAGCAGTGAAGAGAATCTACATGACTTAGTGTCCACCACACATAACAGATTATTTCTAGCTGAACTGATGCACAAAGGCCAAAATAAAAATTGTCTTTTTATTACCCATTTATGTACTCCCTATATTCAAGTGTTGTATCCCCAACTCTGCCATCATCCATGCTATGATCATGGCCCATCCTCACCCTCTCCTTAACTTCATCTCTGCTTTTTATCCCATCGCTGAACTGAAAGTTAAGCTCCGATATAAAATTGGTGTTTTTAATATATATTACTTGGATATTGAGAGAGACAGGAAGGAAGGAAGGAAGGAAGGAAGGAAGGAAGGAAGGAAGGACTTTGGCCTTTACTTTAGGCCAAAGTAAAATGCTGCAAATGTAAACTGATCACACACTTAGGAAAAGATGGATTGTTCTTTAACCATAACAGGTGGCCACCAGAACCAAGTCCATCTATCATTGATAATCATCTTGTGAACATATGTTTGGAAGACAGCCAATCACTTTCAACCCCAACCTCATGAAAGACAGCCAGGGAGAGATGGACTCAGTTCAGTAAACAGCTTTTGAGTGCCAAACAACATCATCTTTCCCAAGTAGCCAGGTGCTGTCAGCCATTCAGGCCATGAAAGTCCTGGATTCCAGTGCCCCCTGGCTCACATCAGCCACTGGCTCTCCAGAAGGGACTGTGCTTTCCTGACATCGCTCTCTCCTTAAACGAGCTCCGGCTTTAACTTCACCACCCTTCAAAATGCCCCTTTGTCAAATCTGAAACATCTAAATGCCATTTTTGCTGGGATTATACTTGTCACTAACTGTTCACTTCTGAAATTCTTGTGTATTCTATACAGTAATGTGGCCTTTGCAAGCACATCGTTTTGTCTTAAACGGTGAGTTTGGTAGGCTTTGGTTCCTTTACATAGGTGTATTAATCAGATTCGCAAACAAAATCCCAACTTTTGAAAACACACTCTGACTTGCTCTTCAAATACAATATTTACCGAATGCCACGTGTGTTCAGAACTGTCCTTGGTGCTGAAGATCCAGACGAAGTAAAAATCTGTCGCCATGGACAGAAATTCTGCTGGAAGACTACCGATTATTTAATTTTTTTAAGAAAGGAAGAAAAGGAAAATATGCACTTTTAACAACGAGAAGTATCAATTTCAAAAGTGCAGAGGAGGAGGAAGCCAAAGAGATGAAGCGCTAACGGAGCCAAGGAAACCGTGGCGCTCGTCTGATCAGTGGCCACCGGACACACACCTCACCTCCGGGGCCACCCCTACTCTCTTACCCTCATTCTCTTTACTAAAATTTCTATTTGAAGGCTTCATGCCACTTTTATCACAAGTTGTTTTTTCTCCCTCTTTTGAAGAGAGGGACAAAAAAGGTAGGTGTCACTGCTGAGGATTAAGAAATGGAGTTAAGCCTCATTTTACATCGGAGAGGCTATTTCCATGTGTGAAGTAACTGCAGCAAAACTAAATACGTAAGGAGAGAGAAGCTGGCATCGAACCCGTGACTTTAGCACCCTTACCGCCACACTCTTAACCAACTGAGCCAACCAGCCAGCTGCAGGGTTGTCGTTTAACTTAAGAGAACAAAAAGCTCGCTAACATTCCTGTGTGTTCAGAACTAAGAACACCCTTCTTTTCAAAGGAGACTTTCTCGTTTAGCCCATTTTAACAACGACTGAAGGACGGGGGTGGGGAGAGGGGAGAGGACTGTTGCATGATGATGGGAGACTGAGGGATGGAGGAATGGAGGTCACAGGACCAGAAGAGGAGAAAATCAGCAGCAGAGAGAAGAAATTGGATATCCAGGTGCCACATCGTCAGTCCTCTAGACACAGACTCTGGCGTCCCTGCCCCGCGTTGGTGGCTCCTACAGACGCTTGACCTGTCCTGGGACAAGCGTCTGAAAGAAAAAGAAAACAACCCCCCCCCCACACACACACACACGCACACCTGAGCTCCTGAGGAAAGACTATAAATCTAAAGGCCAGCCCTGGGGACGTGATGAAGATCCCTAGAGCCCTTGCGCAGAGCACTGGATAGCATGGCCGTGGGCCCTGCCCTGTGGCTGGGCCCTGTGCTCCTGGTTTCCCTCTGGGGGTCCTCAGCTCCAGGTAGGAGGAGGTTGACGATCAGGTAGGGAGTCCTAAGGTGGCCCAGCCTGACTCCCTCCCCTCCTCGACCCACAGCTTCCCTTCTTAGGCGCCTCGGTGCACACGTTCGGCGAGTTCAGGAGAGCTCTGTCCTGAGACTAAGCCTGGACCCAGGGACCACGACCCTCCCTAAAGAGGGGTGGCTGGAGCAGCCGCTGGACCCCTTCAACGCATCCGACAGGCGGTCCTTCCTACAGGTGAGGCCAGGGGAGGGGGAGTCCACTGCCCTCTCCTTTCCTCTCCACTTTGTCCCTCAGCCTCCGTTCTTCCCCTGTCTCCACACGTCTCCCCACCTCTCTGCTCCTCAGCCTCACCCGGTGTTGCTGTCAGTACCCCTTATGGCCTTTAGTCCAGCCACCTGTGTCTTGGATGTGCCCGATGCCCCCATTCCCCCAATTCTTTCCCCAGTCTCCTACTTTTTTGGGGGTCCTCCAGTCCTGTCTTTCAATTCTCATTCTCTCTCTGCACTGCCCCTCAGCTCCCCTGTTCTTCAGATTAAACACTAAACCCAGCTCCAGGTCTCGACATGCAGCAGAGATTTGGAACCAGCCCTGGCTTACAAGAGGCACTTGAAGATATCTATTGAACAAATGGGCAAACTTCCCATTTTTCACACCTACTCTGTGCACAGTCTCCAAAGGTCATCTCAACTAGGTGCTATTCCTAAATCCACCTGCACTTGTTACTTATTCTACAATTATTATTTCAATATATGACAGGTGCCTACCATGTTCTTGCCACTATCATTGACCCTGGGCATATAAGAGAAAAAGATGACAGAAACATCTGCTCTTGTAGATCTTGCATTCTGGATGAGGAGACAAACAGGCTGGAAATGAACACATAAATAAACAAACAAACCTGTTTCAGTTGCCACTAAGTATATAAAGAAAGACCCAGTAAGGGAGACAGACTGCGACGAACAGGAAGTAAAGAATAGGTCAGAATGCTCACAGTCCTGTTTCTTCTTCCTCATCCCACCTCCTAGCGGTACTGGATAAACGACCAGCACTGGGCCAGCCAGGATGGACCCATATTCCTGCATCTTGGGGGCGAGGGCAGCCTTGGGCCGGGCTCAGTGATGAGAGGTAAGGAGCTAGGGTGGGTAGACATAGCTAGGAAGCTGGTGGAGGCCAGGAAGGGTAGCTGCATACTGCCGTGCCTCAACACCTAAGGGCTGCAAGGGCTTACACCCACCGCACACCCCCTTCCATACTCTTCACAGGGCACCCTGCAGCCCTAGCCCCAGCCTTGGGGGCCCTGGTGATAGGCCTGGAACACAGATTTTATGGTCTGAGTATACCTGCTGGGGGCCTGAGCATGACCCAACTCCGATTCTTGTCCAGCCGCCATGCGTAAGTGTTTGGGACCATGGGCCTGGGGATATCCTGTGTCTGCCCTCCAATGCCCGAAGTTCACCTTGAGTCTTTGGCTCATGTTTTCCTGTGTTTCAGCGTCTTATTCTTTCTCTCTCCCTCTCTGGGTCTCTATCCCTGCCTACCACTTTCTCCTACACTGTATTCTTCTCTCATTCCGTCCCACTATGGCTGCTGGTCCAGACCACCAGGTCTCTGGCCTGGATGACACAGCCTCCTCACTGGTCTCCCTTTCTTCCCTTGGCTCCTGCAGTCAGTCTGTTCCCCAGATGAAGCCAGAGTGATCAGTAGAGCACAGACTGGACGACCACTCTCCCTACTTCAATCCCCCCCCCCATCTCTCATCTCACAGTACAGTGGAATCTTTACAGTGGCCACGGGGCTTCATGGCCCTGGCTCTCAGTGAACTCTGACCTCCACTTTCTCCCCTGGCTCCAGCTGCGCTCCCGACACTCAGGCACATTGCTGTCTTGACCCTCTAAACCGTCGCTCCTGCAAGGAGTGGGCTCCCCATACATTGCACGGCTCCCCGCCTCACCTCCTTCAGGGCATCCTGCTCCTATCAACAACCCCACCGCTCTCCTCTCACCTGCGGCACTGTTCTCCCCACACTTGTCTCTCTCTCCTGCTTGCTGTCTGTCTGTCCAACCCTTTGTCCTTTTCTGTCTCACGCTAGTCTCCGTCTCTGTATCTCTTTGCCTCTAGGTTATTCTCTGTCCCCAATCTTTTCACAAGATATACCGGTTTCTTTTTTTAAAAAATTTAAATTGTATTTCTTTCCATGACCATTTAGCCCCCTTATAACACTCCCTCCTGCTGCTAAACCGGATCTAAGGGCCGTAGGATGGCACTGACTGCAAACAAACCCTTTCAGAAAGGTCGGGGAGGAGAGAATGCCCAAGACAGGGAAGGAGATGTCAGACCTGTCTCCCCCTCCCCCAGTACTCGAACCCACCCGGCTCCGGACCCCTTCTCCTCCTGAGGAACTCTCCCTGACTGTCCCGCCCTCCCGTATTGGTCGGGTTTGAGTGTTTTCCCTCTCCGCCCGCCCTCATCTGGAAGGAAAGGGGGGGGTGCCCCCTGGCCCAGCCGCCGTCGGAATACAGTGAGCGAAGTCCCCCGAGACACCCCGGGAGAAAGCAGCCTTGGCGTCTGGGCAGCCCCCCGCCCTCGCCCGCACAGAGCCGGGAACCCTCAGGGGCCCCCGAGGTGACCGGCCGGCCTCCCCTCCACCCAGGCTGGCCGACGTGGCCTCCGCCCGCCTCGCGCTCTCCCGCCTCCTCAACGTCTCCGCCTCCAGCCCCTGGGTCTGCTTCGGAGGCTCCTACGCCGGCTCCCTGGCCGCCTGGGCGCGGCTGAAGGTCCCGGACCCCTCGGGGGCGGGTGGGGTGGGCTCGCGGCCCCGTCTCGGGTGAAAGGAACACGCTCTCCCCGCACCCTCCCTCCCCCCAGGAGCGCTTCCCAGAGCCGTCTTCGCGCGGGTGCGGGGAACAGCGGGCGGGGCTCGCCCGGGGCCCCCGAGGTCCGCGGGGCACGGGGCGGGAGGCCGGGCCCGGCCCTCAGCCCGCCTGACGACTTCTCCCCCGCAGTTCCCGCATCTCCTCTTCGCCGCGGTCGCCTCCTCGGCCCCGGTGCGGGCCGTGCTGGATTTCTCCGCGTACAACGAGGTGCGGGCGCGAGCGGGCGCGGGTCCGGGAGGAGGCGGGTCTCAGCGGCCAGGTCCCTGAGGCGCCTCTCCTCCCGCGCTCCCGCCGCAGGTGGTGTCCAGGAGCCTCACGAGCGCGGCCATCGGCGGGTCCCCGGAAGTAGGAGCGGCCCAGCCCGAGGGGGGAGGGGGGAGGGGGAGGGGAGGGAGGGGAGGGAGGAGGGGAGGGGAGGGAGGGGGAGGGGGAGGGGGAGGGGAGGGGGAGGGGGAAACCCGGAGAGAAGGACGGACCCTAGCGGGGCGCTGGGGCCGAGCAGAACTGCGGTCATCCGAAGGGAGGAGCTTCAACTGGGCGGAGTGAGGGGGGCGGGGCCCGGAGAGAACCCTATCAGCAGACGAGGCTCAGTGCGGGGCGGGGTCTTGGGGACGATTCCCCCGCCCCCAGGAGGTGCCCCTCAGTGCCGGCCCTGGGACTACAGAGCTCTGCTCCCTAGGAGGGTCAGGCTGGGGGAAGTCCAGAGCCTAGGAGGATGATGCTGGAAGAGACAGGTGGGGCTCAGGCCCAGGAGGTCTCCGCCGACACTGCCTCTTCCCCCCGCAGTGTCACGCTGCGGTGTCCACCGCCTTCGCGGAGGTGGGGCGCCGGCTGCGCGCCGGAGGGGCGGCTCGGAAGGCACTGAGGGCGGAGCTGGGAGCTTGCACGCCCCTGGGCCGCCCAGAAGACCGGGAGGAACTGCTGGAGGCTCTACAGGCTCTGGTGGGAGGTGCGGTGCAGTATGACGGGCAGACGGGGGCGCCGCTGAGCGTGCGACAGCTCTGTGGACTCCTCCTCGAGGGCAAGGGCAACGGCAGCCACCTGGCGCCGTACCGCGGGCTGCGTCGGGCCGTGCAGGTGAGTCGCCCTAAGCACAGTGAGAGGGTCAGCCCACCAGGGCCGCTGCGCAATCTTGGGCAGCTGTGAACCTTTCTGAACCTTCCTTTTCTCGTGAGTCACTTGCCCAAGGTCTCACAGGTAATAAAGTCCCAGTCATCTCCCACCTTAACCTCTCATACACAGGGACCCAGGCACCTACCCCTCTGATCATAGACTCCCAGGACAACTCAGGAACTTCTCTTCTGATATCTGACCTTTGACTTGTAGGTTGTCCTACACAGCCTGGGCCAGAGGTGTTTAAGCGTTTCCCGAGCAGAGACCTTGGCCCAGCTGAGGGTCACAGAACCCCAAGTGTCCCGCGTGGGTGACCGCCAGTGGTTGTACCAGACGTGTACTGAGTTTGGCTTCTGTGAGTGCCTGGCTTACTCTCACCTCTGATAACCACCTCCCCCACCCTGCCCCAAATGCCTATTGAAGTGATAGGGGGTAGGTAACAAGCATTTATTTGAGGTCAATAAGAATACCTGTATGAGAAGCGCTCATTCATGCAGAAACCTAAATAGTTTTCCAATTAGCAGACAGAGACAAAAGGTATTTGTGAGAAAGGGAAGGGAAAAATTACATCAAGAGAAGGAAGGCATTTACTTCCATTGGTGCAGATAAACTAACACAGTGAATTAACATTATAAAGAATGTTTTATTTTTCAGTCCAATAGCCATCATACTATCTGCTTTCTTGTTATCTTTGCAAACAGTTCTTTGGGGCACAATGTTGCTTTAGGCCCAGGCCAAAGGTTATTTTCCCCTGTTTAACATCCAAAGGTTAGAGGTATAAGACATGCAAAGCAGTTCCTCTGTCATGGAAGCTCTGACTCCATTTTAAAGAGGCTGTTTATATTATTACATATTGTTATGCTTCTTTTTTTCAAATCCTCAAGGATATATATATATATTTATTGATTGATTTTAGAGAGAGGAAAAGAGAGAGAGAAACATTGATTGGTTGCCTCCCATGTGCATCCTGACCCAGGCTCGAACCTGCAACCTTTTGGTGTGCAGGACAATGCTCCAACCAAGTGAGCCATCTAGCTGGGGCACATTCTTCCTTTTCCACCAAGATCTTTCCTCAAAAACATTGCTGATCAACTACTGGAAAGCAGCACTGATCAGTTATTAAATCATCATTGGTTCTTAGTTGTCGAGTGGCTCATTTTGTGTGTATTATATCATTGTCAGTCTTTGTCACCAGGAAGGTTCATTCATGGTGTGTCGTGTCCCATGTAGGAGGGAAAGTGGTTTTTTAGGGTTCTGAGCCCACATTTGAACAAGGAGAGCGCCAGAACAGAGTAAGCCTTTACCGTTATGTTTCTTTAAGGGCATAGAAACATCTTCTGTAGTTTCTGGGGGTTTCTTACATGAAAATTTTGTAGGCTTTGGTGATCATTTCAAAACATCGAGCAATCATTGTCAGAGTATTGCCAGAGTGGTGTCCTTATAACATCAAGCCATGTAAAACACAAAGACTTATGACAGAACTTTCTATAATAACAAACAAAATGTTAAGTCTCATTTGTAGAATTCTAAACCAGGATCCATATATCTGAGGGCAGTCAACTGAAGATATTAGAGGACCATGAGGTGTCAGTGGGAACCATATTTAATCATTTGACTTGTGCTCAGATTGTATCTAGTTCTTTCTCTGTTTTGCCAGACCAAGTACAACAGGAAGTATTTACAATAGAGCAAACCCATTCTCGTTCAGCTAGGATATGGTTAAGAGCAATGTTATTGTCTAATACAACTCACATAAGGAAATTGAAAGCTTTTTTCTGGTTGGCTATTACTGTGGCCGTCACTGCAATACCTGCCCAAGAGAAAATTCTAGTACCTTTACTAGAGCTGACATTGCCAGGCATTGAACAGTCTTGACTATATGTGTGATCAGCTGCATGTTTTGACCTGGGAAATAGGTTTAAAGATGATGTCCCATGTTGAGTTATCTTTCTAGTCAGAAATCAGAGGGCAAAGGAAGCAATAACTATTATAGGGAGTGCTTGATCCCCGTATTTTAGGAAGGCATAGATTTCACAGGCCAGGCCTGGAATCTTGGGTGAGTTGTCCACAACAGGTGCTGCCTGCTTCACTTCCTGGTAATCATTAAGTTTAAGCCCTCCATTGTTTGAACAGTCCAGTTAGGTGCAAGAAACTTTCTTTAACTTGGAAACATGAATCTAAGAGTTAACATCTTTAAATATGGTTACATGAGGATTAGTTAAGAGTACCTGAATTTCCAGACAGATCAGGTAGGAAGGAAAAAAGCTGTTTTAATTCTGCTTGCAAAGGTATAACTTACCGAATTATTGTAGGTCATAGGTAGTTTAGGGTAAAAAATTCTTATATCTGAAAAACAAAGATCAAAATCTAGTAATACTTCATATAAAAAATCATAGTCATCCTTCTCAGTTCATTTAGCCCCATGTTATTAATTTTTGTTCTTGATATTTTTGGTAGTAATTTTATGATCCAGTTTTTTAGAGTTCTATAAATCTTTATGCAGTTCAGTGTTATGTTTTTAAAGTTGTCTCTTTGAAGATGAAACATATTCATAGGAACATTTTTTTCCAAAGCATCAGAGTAAAACAGTAACTGTGTCTAATAGCACTTTGAAATGGCCATGGTTGAAGACCTGGTGAGGGTTCACATACATACAAGTGATGCAACTGACTTAGTTACCCTCCCAATCTTCGTTAGCTTGACCATACATACAATTATTGTTAGAGATCTCTCCACAAACTTTCTGCAGCTTCCACAAATCTTCTGCAACTTATATATATCTTTCAGTTTTTGTCTTTTTCATTTTTTTTTATCATTTTACTTTTGGACAAAATCACTTTGCTTTTTCCTTCTTACAAAGAAAAAGTTCTTTATATCCTTCCTTATCCAAAAAACACACTCTATTTTCTTTTCCCTCAACCAGATGCATCTCCATACTTCATATGTGCTTCTAGTGAGAGCATATACCCTATTTTTCATACGCAGTAATTTTGTTTTATCCTTATTACTGTCCCATCACAGCCCCATCATCCTGGGCCACCACAATCTGGGGCTTGAGGGTCGTCTCTGGCAGGTCTGTGAACTCATTGGTCATTACTGGGGAGAGCTCTGTAAATGATTATTGAAGGATACTGGAGAGTTGGGTTCATACCCCACACTTACAGAAGTCTCCCTCCACAGATGTCACCTGTCAAGGTCCTAGATGCCCTTTCTCCCAGCTCCCAGCACTGCCCTCCCAGCTAGAGCTGTGTGAGAAGGTGTTCGGGCTTTCAACCTCATCCATGGTCCAGGCTGTGACCCAGACCAACTCCTACTATGGTGGCCAGACACCAGGGGCCACCCAGGTGCTGTTCGTTAATGGTGAGCATGCCATCAAAACCTGACCCTGAAGTTTGCCCCTTGCCCCAGCTCAGCACACCATTCTCTCTCTCTCTCTCTTTTTTCTTTTTTTTTGATAGGGGATGCAGACCCCTGGCATGTGCTCAGTGTAACACAGGACTTGGGACCCTCAGTGTCAGCCCTCCTCATCCCTAGTGCCTCTCACTGCTCGGACATGGCACCTGAGAGGCCCTCAGACACCCCCAGCCTCCGCCAAGGGCGCCAGGTAAGAAAGAGAAAGCTCTGGGTGATTTACATTTGTATTTGCATACAATTTGCATGTTCCTGCCCTCACTGGTGCTAGGATCTGACTTTCAAAATTCTCCACACCTCTCCGCAGAGCATCTTTCAGCAGCTGCAGACTTGGCTCAGGCTGGCCAAAAGGAGCCCTCTTAGGGGTGGGCTCTGAGTCCCACACCCTCACGATTCCCTGCCTGGCCCTCCCGGACCAGGACATATTTGTTCACTGGACAGAAGAAAGCAGCTGGCTTAGAAAGAGGAATTCCCAGGAGTTGGGATTCAGCCCCTGTTCTGCATGTAACTGACTTGTGTCTGCAACCACCCTCACTCCCAACTAAACCTGCTCTATTTCATATTGCATTCTGTAAATATAAGTGGATGATTATTCTCATTGTGAATGTTGGTATTTTAAAGTCAAATGTCAGAAATGTCACTCTGTATGGTGATGCCCTCCCTCTGCTGATTGGCTCCAATTCTGCTCAGCTCCCTGGCTGGCTGCCTTGTGCGTGTCTCTCTCTGGACCTCAGGCTCTGCCCTGTCTGCTTCCCACCCTCCTCCCACTGTGCCCCTCTTCCTTAGTCACTTCCTCTCTATCTTGTCTGTCTCTGTTTGTCTCAGTCTCCTCCTGTTGCCCAAACAACTTCATTTCTCTGTGTGTCTTAGTCTGTTTCTCTGTTTATTTCTCTCTGTGCCTCTCTCAATGTGTCTCTGCTATCCTCTCTCTCCTGCTCTGTCCTTGGTTATCTCCATTACTCAGTTTCTATTTCTCACTTTGGTCTCTGTGTCGCTTTCTTTTTCTATCTCTGCCTCTGTTCCCCTCCCTCAGACGTTCCCTGTTCTCCTTCAGTGCCTTCCAAGTCTTTCTGTCTTCCGAGGCTCTCTCTGTTTCTGTCTTATGCTCATCCCCACCGCCTCTATTGTTCTTCCCGTCACTTAATATTTGTCCTTCTCTGTCTGTCTCTCTTTTAGTCTTACTCTTAAACCTGTCACTCACCAACTTTTTCCAAAATCAAATGTCATTCTCTGACTCTTCCAGCTTCTAACGCTAGGGATTTAGGGCTCTGGTGAAACCTTCCAGATGGGGATACCCCGGGGTTCGGGGAGGATGGGCCTGATCCCAAGGGTCCTCTTAGCCTGGCTCAGCCGGGCACCAGTTCCCCACCATGAGCAGCAGCCAACGGGTCACAAGTCAGAGAGCTGGTAAGTAGGGCCCACGGAACAGCAAGTCAGGAACATGGAGCTGGTGAGAGAAGCCCTGATGCCTGTTCCCCTGCGAGGAAGTCATTCTCTGCCTTTGGTGACTCCAAACCCTGAGGAGCACCTATTTTTTATTCTAAAGCCGAGTCTCAGTGCCTCCATTGATGTACTCACCATGTCCACTGTAGTCTGACACGCCATGGTCCCCGGTGCCTGCTGAGAAATGAAAGGATGAACTCTAACCTCAACTCTTGGCATATCCTTCATCTCCCTCTTGCTTGCTGGGTGCATTTTTTCTCGATGTCCTTTGCAAACTTCTTTTCCACTTAATATCTGATGGGTATGTGTTTGGTGTGGGCTGCTTTCTCTTGTCAAGCATTCTCAGAACTTCAGCGTTTGGGGGAAAAATTAACCTCATACCCATCTCACACCAAACCCCAAAACTGATACAAGAGGGATCATAGATCTAAATCTAAAACTAAATTAAAAAATAGAAAACTTCTTTATGACCTAGCAGTAGACATATTTCTTAGGAAAAAAAATTGCATAAAATACATTAAAAGTGACAAATTGAACATTATCAAAAAATCTGCTCATTAAAAAACATCACTAAGAAACGGAAAGACAAGCAAAAGACTGAGGGAAAACATGCATAATACATATATCTGATGACAGGCGTGGTCCAGATTATTTAAAGAAGTGCCAGACACCAATAAAAAGGTACTCATAGACACAGACAACCATGTGGTCATGACCAGAAGGAAGCTGGGGTGAGGGCTAGGTGGAGGTGAGCAGAGGGACCCAGGGAAGGGACAAGGACATCTGTGATAAAGTCAACAATGAATAAGTTTTTTTAGAAGACAAGTGAGTAACAAATGAGCAAAACACTTGCAAAACACTTTTCAATTTAAAAAGTGCATGTATGGCCAATAATCACATGAAAAAAATGCCCAACCTATTTAACCAGTAGAGAAAGGTGAATTAAAACCACAATGAGGCTTCCGGTCAAGATGGTGACATAGGAAGACATGGCTCGCCTCTTCGCACAACCACATCAAAATTACAACTAAAATATAGAACAACTATCACTCCAGAACATCAAAAACCAAGTTGAATGGAAGTCTGACAACTACAGAATTGAAGAAACAACATCTATCCGGACTGGTAGGAGGGATGCGGACACAGAATGAGCTGGCCCCACACCCACGTGGATAAAAATTTGGGAGGGATATCTCAGGAGTGAGGAGTCCCAGACCCACACCAGGCCTGTCAGCCCAGGATTGCAGTGCCAGGAAGATAAGTCACCACCAATTCTGTCTGCAAAAACAGAAGGATTGGGTTGGTGGAGGAGGCTGCTGAAGCCCTAAGCAGTTGCTCTTGGGGAACCCACACATGGACTCACCTACTCAGACTTGCTCCCTCTGAGCTCCAGCACCAGGGTGCCAACTTGAGGTGAGCCAGTGGTATATAGGGAGAGACTGAAGTGTCTGGCATTGGGATGAGCAGAGGCCATTTTCCCTTGGCTGGGCCCTCTCCCCACAGAACCAGTAGGCTGGTACCATATCCAAGACTCCATCAACCTGGCTAACACTGTGCGACCCACCTTGGAGATACATAGAGGCTCTATCCCACTCAATTTATGGGCCCACCCAGGCTGCTTTTCCATAAGAATGGCTGGTCTTGGCTCATAAATCCTATAGAAAATCAACAGATGGCTTCAGTGAGCCCTTGTGGCAACCAGATTCACCTCACAGCTTGGCTTCATCTGGGAATCTCCAAGCCCAGTACAAGTAGCAGCCACCTCAGATTGCTTTACATCTCAGGCAGGGTGTCCCGGGCAAAACACAGATGGGATTTGACCTTGGTTTGTACCACCTGGGAAACCCCAAGGCCAATGCACCCAGTGGACACCTACAGACCACGTTGGAGAACCACCACTCTGCCCCTGCACTACTGATCCTCCACAGATGGTAGAGGTTGGTGGTCAGTGTTCATAGCCAGTCCTTGCAGCTGACCGGCCTGGGTAAATCCCTCCCATTGATCTGTCAACAGCAACAAAGATTCAACTACAAAAGGAGGGTGTACTCAGCCCACACAAAGGGTGCACCCTGAGTACCAAGCCTGGGTCATGAGGAAGGCTGTGCCCCTGGGCCCTACTGGACACCCACTGCATTAGGTCACACCACCCAGACAGGCAGTCACAGCAGCTCTACCTAATACATAGAAACAAACACAAGGAGGCTGCCAAAATGAGAAGAAAAAGAAATGTGGCCCAAATGAAAGAATAGATCAAAACTTCACAAAAAGAGCTAAACAAAGTGGAGATAAGCAATCTGTCAGATGCAGAGTTCAAAATGCTATTTATTGGGGTGCCCAAGGAACTTAGTGAGGACCTCAGCAGCATAAAAAAAGACCCAGTCAGAAACAAAGGATACATTAAGTGAAATAAAGAACAATTTACAGGGAAACAACAGTAGAATAGATGAAGTCGAGAATCAAATCAATGATTTGGAACATAAGAAAGCAAAACAACCACACAGAACAACAAAAAGAATAAAGAATCCAAAAAAGTGAGGATAGCACAAACAGCCTCTGGGACTTTAAGAGATCCAACATTCACCTCATGGGGGGCCAGAAGGAGAAGAGTAAGAGCAAGACATTGGAAATCTATCTGGAAACGCCATGAAAGAAAACTTCCCTCATTTGGTGAAGGAAATAGACATGCAAGTCCAGGAAGTGCAGAGAGTCCCAACTATGAGGGATGCAAAGAGGCCCACTCCAAGACACATCATTAAAAGACCAAAGGTTAAAGATTAAGAGAGACTCTTAAAACACAGAAAAAAGAAGTTAGTTACTGGAAGGTTGCCCGATGGGAGAGGGGTGGGGGAGAATGGGTGAAGAGGTGAGGGGATTAAAAGGCACAAATAGGTAGTTACAGAATAACCACAGGAATGCAAAGTACAGTATAGAAAATGGAGTAAGCAAAGAACTTATACACATGACCCATGGACGTGAACAGTGGTGGGGGGATTGCCTGAGGGAATCGGGGGTTCTGGCTGGAGAGGTCAAAGGGGGGAAAATCAGGACAACTGTAATAGCATAATCAATAAAATACAATTTTTAAAAAACCATAATGAAATACTACTTTCACCCAATTGAGTTACAGCCAAATGAAACAAAAACTAAAAGTTTAAATGGTGAAGATATAGAACTTTCCATCATGGTTAGTGGGAATGTAAAATTATAAAAGCTCTTACTATGACTACTACACACAGACACCCCTCACCTGTAACTCAGCATTTCCTCTCCTAGACATTACCCCCCCAAAACAAACTTAATGTATCAATGAACAAATGTGTTCAAAAATATTTGTGCCAGATTTATTCACTATAACCTACAACTAAAAGCAATGGAAGTGTCTGTTAGCAATAAATGTAAAAACAAATCATGCTACATTTATAAAAATAGAATTTTACTTACCAATAAAAATAATGAACCACTGGTAAACGCAAAATCTGATTACTCTCAAAGTCATTATCTTGAAACAAAGAAACCACACACACAACAGTATATACTACATGATTTGATTTATATAAAGGTCAAGAACAAGCAAACAAACTATCTTATTTAGTTAATTTTTACTATCGTAATCAGTGCACGTGTTACCAAACCACAGTTGGCATTCTGCTGTCTGTTGCTACCCCTAAGGAAAATTGCACAGGCGAGGCAGAGCTTTGGTGATAAAAGAAAGGAGACTTGACTCAAAAGTTACACAATTTTGGAATAACGGTTTTCCACACACATTAGTCACTCAAGCCTATCAATTAAGGCCAGATTCTTTAACACCTGAGTTCTGTCATTCCCCTGCTAGTTTTTAGTTACCTTTTTCCTACAGGATTAGTTTATAAAGCAAAACAACACAGGACACAAAAGCTACGCAATTTTGGGAGAAGGGCGCGCCTCTGCCTCACGGCTCCTCTCGTCTAGAACACGCAGAGAAGAACAACCCTCCCACCTTCTGCCAGGCCAGTCCAACCAGGCTGCGACCAGAGTTCCGTATCCCATCCAAAATCCATCCAAAATCCATCCAAATTCAATCCAAATCACCTTTCGTTGGGAAGCGCGGGCGACCGTCGC